TTTGGACTGAGCAACTGGAAGCATGGAATGGGCTTTACGGAAGGGAGACTTGGAGGGCTGGAAATCAGAAATAGGGCTTTGCAACACATTCAGTTCATTAGGCATCAAGATGTTGAGCAGACAGTTGGAGATACATGAGCCTGGAGTTTTTGGGAGACAGTGGAGTTGCAGATGTGTGGCATTTTTTTGTTAAGGGGGATCATCCGTGTGTAAATGGTATTTGAAGTCATGGGACTGTTACTGAGTCACCTCCCCCAAATTCAGGTTCATGTATCTTCGATCTTTAAAAAAAAAAGTATTGATTTCAGAAAGGAAGGGAGCTAGAAACATCAATGATAGAATCATTGATTGGCTGCCTCATGCACGCCCCCTACTGGGTATGGAGACCACAACCCAGCATGTGCTCTTGACTGGAATTGAACCCGGGACCCTTCAGTCCACAGGCTGACACTCTATCCACTGAGCCACACCAACAAGGGCCATGTGCCTTCAATCTTTAAGGCATATTTGGAATTACTTTAGTCCATGCACTAGAAGACCAAACCATTGAGACATTGGTGCTTGGAGACAGAAGGTTTATTTGATTTGACAAAATTGAGAGGATGGGAGAACACGATCTCTCAAATCCATCTCTCCCCAAAAGCAAAAAAGCAGGGAGTTTCTGTGGCCGGGGCGTAGGGAGGGGGAGTTTCAGGGGATAGAGGGGGAGTTTCAGGGGACGCAGAGGGAGGCCTGTGTTTCTTTAGTCACAGATAACTTTTCCCTGCATCAGACTCCTGGCCGCCAACAGCTGGCCATGGCTACCTTGAAGATATTCTTTCCTTCTGCAAAACAGACTCATAAATTATCTTCCTGCCTCTGAAGTTATCTCTTCCTGCACAGCAAAGAGATACCACATCAGCAACTATCACTACATTCCTGAGAACAAAGGGGGTTGACCAAAAAGAATGGCTAACATTTGAACAAAGACCTAATTAGGAATTAAATTATTCAATTCTAGCCAAAAATACTATGAGCATTAAGAAGGGCTCAGTCACAGGACCTCTTAGGATTATGAAGCGTATGGATGTATGGGGAAGGGTGGTCCCCTTCGGCCTTCCTCATCATCCCGGCCCCCACAGTGACCTTGTGAACACCTGCATATACACACACACACACACACACACATACACACTCGCCCACACACACACACATACACACACACACAAACACACACACTCCACACACACACACACACACACTCTCCCCCCCCACACACACACACTCTCCCACACACACACATACACACACACTCACACACACACACATACACACACTCACACACACACATACACTCCCCCACACACACTCCCACACACATATACACACACACAAACACACACACCACACACACACACATACACTCTCACACACATACACACACACAACACACACACACACACCACACACACACATACACTCTCCCACACACACACATACACACACACAAACACACACTCCCCCCACACACACATACACACACTCACACACACACACACACACACATACACTCTCACACACACACACATACACTCTCACACACACACACGCACACACGCACACACAAAGAGAACAGGTCCGTCGCCTCAAAGCTGTGTACCACCTTAGCCCTGACCCATTTGGGCCAGCAGGGCAGGGAGAGGGGTAGGGACTGGGTGGCTCAGGGCCATCTGGAACCTTCTCCCAGGAGCAGAAGCAGCAGGCAGTCCGAAGGCCCAGAGCAGATCATTGCCTGGAGGCAGGGGGAGGCCAGTCCCATACAAAGCTCCAAGCACCCTGGTAGGTGGTAGGGTCCTCCCTCTTCCCTCTTCCAGGCTCTCTGCAGCCAAGCCCCTGCTTGTCCCTCCCGCTCTCCTGGTCTGTCCCCACCACCTCCCCTCCAGCGCACCCCTGCCCCTTGCCTCTGCCTGCAGCCTCACCCAGTTTCTGTCTGCCCACCCCTCCTCCAGCACCCAACCCGGAGGAAGTTAGAAGACTGGCTCCTCCGCCTGCAGGCCCTTCAGTGGCTCCTGCCCTCTGCTGCTGCCGCTGGCTTCAGGGAGGACAGACACTGGACAGAACCGCCAGGCCTGGAGCCTCAGCTAAACTCCTGGTGAGAGGCAGCGGGGCGGAGGGCCCTCTCCTGCTGAGTTTTGTCTAGGGCAGGGGGCAGGGAGGGTGAGTGGGGCTGTCTCCTTTTAGTTCCTTTGGCCTTGTTTCTCACACATCTGCTTTCCAAGTGGAAATACAAGTACAAGACCTGCTCTGGAGCCCTCTATACCAGCACTTTCAGGCATTTTCTCAATGAATTCTCACTATGACCCACGACATAGGAATCACACCCATTTTACAGATAAGAAAACGCTCAGATTAGGTAAAAACTTGCTGAGGTCCCCTGACTGGTGGGGACCAAGTCACGTCCCTGCTCTCTCCATCCACGCCTGCCTCCCTCCTGCCGCCGCAGACAGGGGCCGGGGACGTGAGGCGTGGCCCGGGCCAGCTCCGTCCTCACCTGGGAGGTTTCGGGGTCCGGGAACTGGGCTAACAATCCGCCCGCGCCCGCCTGCAGCACCAGCTGCTGCAGGGCAGTCCCGCCCGCTCCCCGGAGCCCCACTCCCCTGGGTTCGCAAAGGAGAGCGCGGGAGACCGCGGGGACCAGGCCTTTATTTCGGGGCGGCTGGAGGCGCGCCGGACTCGGGGCCCCCTGGCTGTCCCGCCCCAGGCTTCGCCGGAGCGCCCTCAGGGCCCTGGGCGGGCTGGTCCCCGAACACCGTGCGGTGCATGGCGGCCACGTAGCTGCAGCCGCTGGGGTCGGCCAGGCGCAGCCGCGCCAGGGGCAGGATGCGCTCCGAGGCGAAGTAGCGCAGCGCGGGCTGCGGGGCGCGCAGGGCGGTGAGGAAGACCTGCGGGCGCGGGGAGGAGGCTGCTGGGCTGGGGGCGAGGCCTCGGGGCCGCCCCGCTGCCCCCGGAGCCCTGCCTGCACCCACCTCCGTCACCTCCTCGGGGTCCTGCGCCGCCTCGCGGAAGACCTGCTCGAAGTGGCGCTGGTACCGGGAGAAAAGGTCTCGGGTCTGGGCATCTGCGCCGCCCAGCACCGCGCCCAGGCCGTCCTGCACTTTGGCCTGGAAGGCCGTGCGCACCGGGCCGCACTCGATGAGGCTCACGCTGGCGACCGAGAGCGGCGAGTGGGTTGGGAGCCAGTGAGATCGGGGCCCAACCGGCCCCTCATCCCTCCTCCCCCCCACGCTCCGCACCGCCAGGAGGGAGGGTAGGTGAGGGTCTGCGCACTGGCAGGTGACAGGGCACACGGGCACATAACGCTAACCGGAGTGCTTGAAGGGGCTCACCGCCCGAAAAGCGGCCCCATTTCCACTGGAGGGTCTGAGCGACTCCGGCCTCAGAATTCCAACTTGGCTGGGCCGCATACTGTGTGACCTTGGGGCAGTCAGCTAATCTCTCTGGGCCTACGCTTCCCAATAATAACGGACACCTCACCAGGTGGGTGGCACCCGCATGCCCAGTGCAGTGCCTGGCACACAGCGGACATGGGCAGGGAGAATGCCTAGTGTGGCCCCACCTAGCAGGGTATGGGGGTTCCCAAAGCCAGGCTCAGAGGGCGGGCGGGGACTCACTGGATCCCGAAGGGCGGCAGCTGCACGGCCAGACTCTCGCATAGACCTTCGATGGCGAACTTGCTGGCACAGTAGACAGCGTTGAAGGGCAGCCCTTCGAGGGGAGACGAGGGAGGGAGGCGTTGAGACTCTGATGGGAGCTCGCCCAGGGGAAGCCCGGCCCAGCTCCCTCCGCTCGCCCCGCTCACCCATCAGGCCTCCCATGCTCCCCGTCACCAGTATGCGTCCGGAGCGGCGGCGCTTCATGTCCGGCAGGAAGGCCTGAAGCATCTGCACCATCCCCACCAAGTTCACGTCCAGCACAGAGCCCACGGCCTCCGCCGGGAGCACCTCGATGGGCCCGTGCAGGCCCCGGCCCGCGTTGCACACTGTGGGGAGAGGTGCACGCTGGACCCCCGTGCCTCCTGCGCAGCCCTCCGTCCCAGCCGGTCCCGTGGCCCCTGAGCCTCGGGCCCCCTCGGTTTGGACGCGGGAAACGGAAGCTCACCCAGCACGTCCACGCGGCCCTCCGTCACACGTGCCCTGGCAGCAGCCACGGAGTCCGCGTCCTGCACGTCCAGCTGCAATGTCTTCAGGGAGCCGGGCGGGCACCCTTGGGACCCGGCTGCCTCCCACAGCGGGCCCTGCGTGCTCAGGTCCCGCAAAGTGGCGTACACTGGAGGTTGGGGACGGGACGAGGACCTGAATGTCCTGCTTTACTCACCGAGGTGCCCGGGGACCGGGGCTGCTCCCATCCCCACCCCCTCGTGTACCTGTGAAGCTGCGGGAAGGGTCTGCCGCCAGCCGCAGGGCCAGGTGCAGGCCGATGCCCGAGGAGCAGCCGGTGATGAGCACCACCGTGCGGTCCATGGGGAGGGCGTGTGGGGGAGGCCCTGGGCTCGGGACTAGATAGCACCGGCTTCGCTCCGCCCCTGCCCCAGCCCCCGGAGGGCCTCACCCCTTGTTGTGTCTCCAGCACCACCTCAAGGCCGAACCCTGCAGAGGTCCCTGGCCTGCTCTGCCCACCCTGCGCTAGGTCAGGGCGGAGACGAGGCCCCTGCTGGGAAGGACCTGCCTCAGTTGCTGGCCAGAGGTCGGGCGAAGCCGGTGTGGGCTCCCGTGGGCACCTGGCGCGGGTCTCTCCCCGGGGAATGCCTCTGTCCCACGGGGACAATCACAGTTTCCCAAGTTTGCTGCTGAGGGTAGGAGGGCAAATGCTTTGGGAAGGCATTCTTAGTTCAAAGGTCAGGGGTCAGTATTAAAAACGGGGAGACAGAAGCAAGGGGACAGGGAGAGCGGGCCTCACACCGGTGTCCATGCGGTAACTCCGAGTCCTCCCCACAGGGAGCAGGGACATTCAGACAGACAGGCCCAGGGGATTCACCGTTTATTAAGTTGTATTAAAACAGTGTTTCGGTCCCAAATTTGGGGTGGCGGGGGAGGGCAGCTCACTTCCCTTCGAACCTCCTAATCTCGATTCGACTGGCAGGTCTTGAGTCCCTTTGCCTGAGGTAGGGGTGGAGGGGGGGACCTCCAGTGACCTTGCCCAGCCCCAGGCCCCAGGAACCTGCCCGGCTTGGAGTTTGGGGAGAACAGCCCAGGAGTGGTTCATCTGTCACAAGGAGCCGGCCACCCAGCGAGGGTAATATTTGAGGAAGAGCTTCTTGGCCAGGTCCACCGTGTCGCCCTGGGGCTGGCTGGGGTACCGCCGTGTGCTGAGGGCAAAGGTCTGCTCCAGCTGGAGGGCGAGCTTCTCAAACTGGTGCTGCTGGAAGGGGGTGCCTTGCACCAGGCTGTCCACCAGCGTCTCCAGGAAGAGTCGCCAGCGGGGGGTGTAGTAGTCGGCCACCAGCCCCGCCAGCTGCTTGTTGGCGTAGTCCAGGATGTTGCCCTCGGGCCCCCAAAGGGTGAGCTGGTAGCGGCTGTTCTGTTCGTAGAAACGGGCCTCGGCCTCGCTGACCGCGGCGGCCCGGGCCTGCTCCAGCCAGCGGCCCAGCAGGAAGTGGCTGTCGCTGGCCAGGATGCTGTCCAGGGAGGGCAGGAGCTCGTAGGCCAGGACGCCCGCCGCCCTCAGCAGGGGGACCAGCTCCTTGTTCAGGTAGGCGCTCCTCACCTCCTCGTAGTACAAGCTGACCAGCTCCTGGACCGCCTGGCGAGTGAGGTCCGCCAGGTCGTAGCGGAAGGACGGGCTGGCGGCCAGAGCGGGGGAGGCCGTCAGCAGCAGCCGCCACGCCTCAAACACATCCGACCGGTTGTACCAGACGGCGGTTGCCATCTGGAGGGACGGCCGCCTGACCAGGGGGCTGCGATTGTGGCCGCTGCAGGCCTCGCCGGAGCAGTTGTAGACGCTCCTGAGGAGCAGCCTCCATGCTGCCTCCGAGCCTTCATGGGAGGCCCCATACCGCCGGGCGGCAAAGCCCGCCACCCAGGCCCCCAGATCTGCCACTGGGCCCTTGCGCCAGCCCAGCTCGGCCATGAGGGCGTAGACCACTTCGTTCTGGCCGATGCCTTCGGGGGCCATGCCCGTGCCCACCATGGTGGAGTTGGGGAAGAGGCGGGCGGCGGCGGGGCCCCGGTTCACGGCCTCCAGGGCCCCGAACAGGCCGTGGTTGCCCCCGAAGTTGTGCAGCATGCACCAGATGAAGGGCTGGCCCTGGAAGGAGGCCGTGCGCACGTACACGGGCTGGCTCTCGGCGAACAGGTCCAGGACCAGGAGGCGGCCCCGGGGCACCGCCCGGAGCACGGCCTCCACCTGGGCCGGGCCCCAGAACTCCGGCTGGTGTTGGAAGAGCCAGCCTTGGAGGAGCCACACGGCGTCAGGGTCCACTGCGTCGGGGGTGGGGGGGCGAGGCAGAGAAGAGAGGCGATGAGAAGGGGGGGTCAGAGGAACATTCATCCCTCCTCTACAGAGAGGAAACGGAGGCCCAGAGAGGTCAGCTGACTGTCACAGGACACTTCCTTCTCTGAACCCCCCAGCCAGCAGGGCTACTGCATCACACCCCCCCCTTCCCCCTCCCCCTCCCCCTCCCCCTCCCCCATCGGAATTCCCCAGAGGCTGGTCACACACACATTCACAGGCTCCAGCCCTGCTCACTCTGACTCAGGAGGGGGAGGGGAGGGAAGGAGGCTGGATCTGCAGACCCGGCAGACTCTGGGCTGAATGAGACTTGAAGCGGCTGAGTCGCTCTGCTCCTTTCCTGCGGACAGAGGCCTCCCGCCCCCACTCCTGCCCGGGCTCCTCTCCACCCTCCCCGGGAGGGGCAGGAAGGAGCACTAGGTTCACATCTGGCACATTCCCTAACCTCTGGCCTGTGTTACGCACCTCAGCAGTGGAGGCAGAGACCAATAAAATACGGGGTGGGCAAACGTAGGTTTATAGTTGTAACAAATAATAAACAAATACATAAATAAACACAAGAACAAACTGTGTTTCAATACTCACATCTGTAGACCTACTTTTGCCCATCCCTGTCTTGAATACCCAGCACTTGATGACACGCTACTCTGGGCCAGGCGTCATCCTACTTACAGGGGGCCCCATTTTATAGATGAAGAAACGGAGGCCCTGGGAGGGAGGTAACTTATTGCCGTCACATGGGCAGGAAACAGCAGGGCCAGAGTCAGGGCAGGCTGCCTGCTTCCGGAGCTCACCTCTCACCGGTGTGGTGAAGTGAGATGATGTGTGTGTACAAGCGCTTGCTATGTGTCAGTCAGGTGTTACTATGCCCAGTCCCTCCTCCCCTTCCCTGTCTCCCCCGGCACCAACCTGCAACCATGGCCTGGTAGACAGCGGCAGTGGCTGCGGCGAGGTAGGAGGGCTCCGAGGACGGGGGCTGCATCTCATTGAACGTGTCGGCCCCGTAGATGTGGTCTGTGCCGAACTCTCGGGTCAGCTCCCGCAGGAAGAGGCTCCCCACCACGGGGAACAGGGGGTCCTCAGGAGCCAGGAGGAAGGAGCAGGAGTAGGAGCAGTTAAAGTGTCCCCAGCTGCCCATCTGGGTGACGTTGACCTGAGGGAACACCCTAGTTGGGGGTGGGGACAGTCCGGACATTGAGTGGAGGCCGGCACAGTCACTGCCAGGTTCATTAACTTATCTGCGACTCCTGGGCCTCATCCTGGTCTCTCCTGCCCCCGTGCCTTTGCACATGCTGTGCCCGGGCCTGGCGTCCTTTCCTCCTCTCTCCCTGCTCCTGCAGCTGGTTACTCCTGGACTCCTTTTGCGTTTCACCTAGTTTGGAAAACTCTCGCTCTCTTCCCTCCCACTGATTGAAACAAACAACACTCGTTTTTCAAGGTCTGGTCCCATACTGCCTCTCTCTGAGTCCTGCAGCTCCTCCTACCCAGGCAGAAGTGCCCTTGACAGAGAAGTGGGCCCTATTGCTGTGTTATAACCTCCTGCCAGCCTATCTCCCACCAGGGACGGGAGCTAGGAACTCGGTGCACTGTTATCCCTGCCTCCTCGGGCCCAGCACAGAGCCTGGTCTGGCGACCCCAGACCCCCGACAACCGCTCCCTGAATGTATGCACGAGGCTCCTGCCACCCAGCAGGAGGGACGAGGGGGTGGTCAGCGGGGCCATCAGCGTGCACGAAGCACCGTGAGCGCGGACACCAGGGGCTCACAGGCCTGAAGGAGGTGGTGACCGGTGCTGGGAGCCCCAGCAAGGCCTCCTGGAGGAGGGGAGGTCCCAGCTGGCCTGGAAGGATTTTCCCAGCCACAGGAGAGGATGGGTGGGCACCACAGAGCAGGGAGGACAGAAACCAGTGCACCCCTGCTACCACGCACAAGAGCTAAGTCTCAGTGCCAGGCCATGTATATTTTATAGGTGAGGCAACTGAGGCATTCAGCAGTCACGTCACCTGCCTGAAGCCACATGGCTAGTGGGCAACAGAGCCAGGAATCAAGCCTACAGCTCTTTCCATCGTGCCTTGCAGGGGAGAATAAACCCCATCTCTGAGCTGAGTGGAGGGGAGGGCAGGGAGCCTCACCTGGTGACAGCCTTGGGGACGTGCCCCGCAAATGCCGGCAGCACGGGAGTCATGCCGAAGGAGCGCATCCGGTCCAGGATCCGGTGCTGGAAGAATGGGGGGCAGGGGGAGCTGGTGAGCATGGCCCGAGAAGGGAGGCCCTCGCTCCCCAGGGCACACAAAGTCCCCGGATCTGATCAGGAGCCTGGAGACTGGCCAAGTAGGACCCTCCCTAGCCTGTGACTGCCCAGGACCAACACTACCCCTCTCCTCCTTCCCTGTAGTTTACCTGCAGGTAAAGCTGCTTGAGGTGCCAGGAGCGGGGCAGGGGGCCGCCCCAGGTGTGCAGGTTGCCCATGCGCTCCCAGGCCAGGAAGGCGGGACCGGCGAAGTACTCGTCGATCTCCGACGGGGTCAGGCCCAGGGCCAGGTACACCTGAGGAGGAAGGCAACCACCCCACACACATAAACACACTCATCTCCTTTCACCGATTCCCGGCGTCCACTCATCTCTCCTCTGCGCTGTGCCCTACGGTGACTGAGACCAAAGGCAGCCTCCGCCTGCAGGGAGCCCACAGTCCAGGAGAAACGGGTGTGTGAACAGGTGAGTTGACTGATGTCACCCTTATCACACAGGTGAGCTGAGGCACAAGGGGGCTCTCCCCAAACCAGGAAGGGGCCTTAGGCAGCTTCATGGAGCAAGGCTGGTTAGACATCAGCTCCGCAGGGAGCGCAAACAGCCCCAGGTGCAGCCAGCTGGCAAAGGCCGGAGGCAATGCTGCCCTCCTGGGTGTTCAGTAAGGTGGCCAGACGTCCCTTTTTAACAATTTGTCCCGCGGAGTTTTTAAAAAAAGGTCCCGATTTTTGGGAAAAAGTCAGGACCTTTTTTAAAAACGCTGCGAGACGCGGGACAAATTGTTAAAAATTGGGACTATCCCCCAAAAGCAGGACGTCTGCTCACCTTAGTGTTAGGGGGAGGGCTTGCCCAGATCTGCGTTTCAGAAAGGGCTCTCTCTGGTTAGCAGAGCCTGCGAAGCCAGGAGTCCAGTTCAGAGGCTCCTGTGGGGGAGCAGGGAGAGGGCGTGAGAGCCTGAATTAGGGCCATGACTAAGGATGGAGAGAACAGGGAGGCCAAAGGCGGCTAATGACACAGAATCTGTAGACGCAGCAGACTGACTGGACTTAAGCGTGTGCGGTGGGGTGCTGGGGTCTAGCCTAGTGTCCGTCTCGGCCGCAGAAGCCCGGTTCCCGAGGCCTGGGGCCACTGTGCCCACCAGAAACGCCTCTGGAGCCCCTTCTCCCTGGGCCAGGCGCTCTGCTGATGCGGAGCGGGAGACAGGGACACCTGGAGTGGTCCGGGGGTGGGCACGTACCCGCCGCCAGATGGCCTCCTGGCCGCTCCAGGCCAGCGCCAAGTTGATGCCATTCAGTGCCATCCAGTCAATCTCCTGTTCCCAGCGGGCCCAGTCCCACCACACGAAGGAGTAGCTGTGAGTGCACACGTTCTGGTAATAGCGGTACCTGTGGGCAGGGGCGTGAGCGGGGGTGTGTCCTTCAGCACAAAAAGGATGTTCCTCACCCTGACACCCATCGTCCTGGAGGAGCTCAGAAGGCCGCCTGACTCCAGATCTAGCCCCGAGGGAGGGGTTCCAAATGTGGTCTCTCTACTGCTTCCCTTGGGGATCCACCCCAGGCAGAGCTGAGAGGTTAAGAATGCACGGTGAGCCCTGACCGATTTGGCTCAGTGGATAGAGTGTCGGCCTACGGACTCAAGGGTCCCAGGTTTGATTCCTGTCAAGGGCATGTACCTTGGTTGCGGGCACATCCCTAGTAGGGGGTGTGCAGGAGGCAGTTGATTGATGCTTCTTTCTTATCAATGTTGCTAGCTCTCTCCCCCTCTCCCTTCCTCTCTGTAAAAACATCCATAAAATAAATAAATAAATAAATAAAGAATGCAAGGTGAGCCCAGCTGGTGGGGCTTGGTGGCTGAGCTTCTATATATGAACCAGGAGCCCTACGGTTTGACTCCTGATCAGGGCACATGCCCGGACTGACCAGTGATTCTTTCTCATCGTTGATGTTTCTCTCTCTCTCTCTCCCCCTTCCTCTCTGAAATCAGTAAAAATGTTTAAACCATTTTTAAAAAAGAATTCAAGCTGATTCTTTTCAAGAATGTGCCTTTCACGTCTAGGGCCATATTGCCCGATCTCGTCAGAATGTACTTTTTACTATAAGAACTCAGTTTTTTTCTCTTCTCCGGAACATTCTGACTATTGCCTAGTTGTGTTTCCGGTTCTAAGACCCTTGCATAAATCCTTGTCATGTCTTTCCAGCCAAAGCCTCTAGGTTTTTTTTTTGTCAGTTGGACAAGGCAGACCAAAGGGGATCTGAAACCGGAGTTGTGCAACCAACCCCAGGGCTGGCGCTTCCCACCAGCGTAGTGCTGGGGCGGGAGGGACTCAGCCCGGTGAGCGGAGGCAGCTGCAGGGGAGCGGGGCGGTCCCGCCGGTACCTGTTGGGCGTGGCCTCGGTCAGCTCCGCGGGCACGGCGGGCAGCGGCTGCGGCAGGTGCAGCTGGGAGCCCGACCAGGCTACGTGGCAGCCGCAGAAGTCGCGCAGGTAGCGGTGCAGGCCGGCGGCGGCGGCCACGCCCGTGGAGCCCACCACCCGCACGGACGCCCCGGCGCCGCCGCCGCTCAGGCGGTAGGTGTCCAGGCCGGACTCGGCCGCCAGGGCGCGCTCCACCGACACCGAGAAGGCGGCCGCGGGCCCGGGGCCCAGCAGCCGGGCCAGCAGCGCCCGCACGGCCTCCGCCTCTCGGGCCTCGTCCCCGGCCGCGGCCCCCGCCAGGGCCACGAGCAGGAGCCCCAGCGCCGCCGCCCGCATGGTCCCGGGTCTCACCCCGGCCGCCGCCGCCCGCGGGGAGCCTATAGGGGACGCGGGCCCAGGGGGCGGGGCGTCCCGGGCCCAATCAGCGGCGAGCCTTAGGTCACGTGGAACCGAAGGCAAAACACCGCGGGCAGCCGGGAGACTGGCTTCCGGGTCCGGACAGCCGCCCGGGGGTGTCTTCTGGGCGCACGCGGGGCCGGAGAGCGTGACCCGGTAACCTCAGCGGCCCGGAGCCCCGGAGAGGAGGGGGAGAGGGGGGGCCTGGGGGTCCCGCTATCCTGTTCCGGCGTCTTCAGGTCCCACGCGAATCTCTTTCCTCCCATTCAGGAGTTCATTTAGGAGCAGGCACTGCCACCCCTCTCCGGGGAGACCTAGAAACCATATACAGTACTTAGGGGAAGATTTACATTAGAGCTGTGATAGTGTGAAGAAATAGAAGGGCGCCCAGCCTAAGGCTTCCAAAAGGAAGTGATATTTAATCTGAGTTAATTGGGATTGACTAGGAGAAGAGATAGGGAAACACCCAAGGCAGAGAAAATGTTTACATGAAGATCCCTGAAGGATAGTGAAAGAGCTGGACAGATTTGAGGAATTAAAAGAGCAAGCACAAAGCTGGAGGGGCCATGGGCCATGGAGCGTGGCCTAGCGGTGGGGCAGGGCCTGGCGGACATGCTGAGGTCTCCTCGGGGATCCTTAAGGCAGCAGCAGCAGAGAGGAGTTACCTTCATTTTACATATTGGGGAACTGAGGGCCAGAGAAAGGAAATGACTCAGACAAGATCAGTACTGGTAGGAGAGCGGGTCTGGGACTAGAACCGGACGCCTAAGACCAGCCTTCTTGCCACTATTGTCCAAGTGCCTCTACTGTTCAGGCTGCCTCTCTGGCAGGGAGGGGTGAGTGGGGGCTTTGTGGTGGGCCCTTTAGAAAAACGTTTCTAACAGGAGCCTTTGGAGACAGGTGTAGATTTTTCCAGGCTGTCAGGCCTGAGGGAAGCTGTTGAGGGACAGGAAGGGGATCAGAGGAGGATTGCCAGTCCAAAGAATCTAGAGTCTGGACTGAAAAAGAACAAGGGAGTCCAGTGAATTTGCCGGGCTCCCCAGCTCCCTGCCCCCAGACACAGCAGCAGGCCCTGCCTTGCTCCTGGCTCTGAGCAGCTTTCAGGAGGTGCAGTCCCTGCTCTCACCCAGTTTCTAGTATCAGAAGGTTCTCAGCCTTTCTCAGGGAGCGTTCCAAGTCCGGCCCAGAGAGATGCACTCTCAAGGGCTACCGCCTGCAGCACCTCTCCCCACGCCCTCCTCTGCTCCTCTCCAGCATGCCTCACTCGCACCCAATTTTCCCTCCGAGCACCCCTTTCTTCAGGTGAGCCTTGTCAGAGTCTCCTCCTGCCTGGGCCTGTTTTACTGGCATTTCTGGATCTCAGGGATCGCGTGGGTGGGAGTTGGGGCTCTCTGTGGGGTCTGGGTTCTCCCAGAGTGTGTGTGTGTTGGGGGGCAGTAGGTTGGAGACACCATCCAGGGGGTTAGTAGTACATTTAAAGCCTGAGTTCGTAGATGGTAGGCAGGAGCTTCAGGGATGAGTCCAAACCTCCACACTCTTTTCTCATCTTCCCCATCAGGCTGGGAGCTCTGACAACCGGAGTGGGTGATGGAAAAAATTAAAGCGTGAACTATTCGGCATTTACTGAAAAATGAGGAAGTTGTGTTGTTAATGATTTGGAATGTTCTGCAAATGGTCAAACCAGTAGGTATAGTACACTTGCATTTGTGTGGGTATTTTTTATTTGTTGTTGTTAATCCTCACTGGAGGGTCTATTTTCCAATAATTTTGTTTGTTTGTTTTAGAGACAGTGGAAGGGTGGGGGAGAGACAGAGAAAGAAACATTGATATGGAAATGAGAGAGACAGATTGGTTGCTTTTCGCACATCCCCTACTGGGGCCAAGGAACAAGCCTGAAACCAAGGTGTATGCCCTTAACTGGAATCGAACCCGCATCCCTTCAGTTTGTGGGCTGATGCTCTAACCACTAAGCAAACCGGCTAGGGCTGTGTGCATCTTTTTTAAAGGCTATGAAAACAGTGGTGGCCTCCCATGGAGTACTAGGATGCTGGGAGCGGGAGGACTTGACTTTTTCCATTAATGTGTGTGAAACAAGTAGGCCTGGCTCTCCTCTCTCCGTCTCATCATGTTCTCTTCCGTTCCTGGCCCCTCGGCCTATGTACCCCAGAACACTGCCCAGCCAGTCCAGTTGCCTGCCTGTCACAGCCCAACTAGGATCGCATGGCACTCACCTTGCCTGTGAGGAGGAATGAGTCCTTCCCTGTCTGGCCACCAGGGAGCAGCCCATGCCTAGGACATACCTTGGGCAGGCCAGGAAGCTGGGAAGGCAGCCAGGTCTCTTGGATCTGAGAGGAGCTCCAGTGATGCCCCTTCTATCCATGGCTCCTGGGACAGAAAGAGGCACAGTCTACCCAGATCCCTGGTGAATAGGACAGAGTGGGTCCTGAAGGTGGTGACAATTAAAAAATTGTCTCATCTTTAAAGTACTGAGCAGGCCCAAAGCCACCCTTTTCATGCTGGTTCTAGGACTGTAAGAGAAGGGGCATTCACTGGATAGAGAGCACAGAACCACTCAGCAGATGTCTGGGGTCTTGGGATTTTACGAGAAGGGGATCTCCTATTTTAATCCTGCCCCCAAATGCATCCAGCAGCCACTCTTAGGCATTACCCATCTACTTTCTGTCTCTATAGATTAGCCTACTTCACCGAAATGGAATCATGTTATGTGGTCTTGTGTCCTGTTTCTTAGCATAGTGTTTTTGAGGTCCATTCATAGTGTTGCAAGCAGCAGTACTTTATTCCTTTTTATTGTAGATGAATACCTATTATATGGATAGACTGCCTTTTGTTATCCAACTGGTGGGCATTTGGGTTGTTTCCATTGGGGGACTATTATGAATAATGCTACTATGAACACTGTGCACAAGTCTGCGTGCACATCTTTTCATTTTTCTTCAGCGGATACCTAGACGTCAACTTGCTGGGTCTTGTATTACTTCTGTTTAACATTTTGAGGAACTGCCAGGCTGCTTTCCGAAGCAGCTGCACCATTTTGCATTCCTACCAGCAGTGACTAGGGGTTCCAATCACTCCACATCCTTGCTGACCCCTGTAATTAGCTTTTTTATAAACCTTTTTATGTATGTGAGGTGGTATCTCCTCGTGGTTTTGATTTGCATTTCTCTAATGACTAATTACCTTGAGCATTTTTTCATGGGCTTACTGGCCATTCAGCCTGGGGACATAGAGGGCTGACTGCAAATTTATTGAAAAATAAATATCCAAGTATAAGTGGACCCATTATTCAAGGGTCAACTGTATGATTTGCAGATATTGTCTCCTGGGGTGAATGTATTTATTTTCTCCTTTGAACCAAAACATTTTTTAATTTTCCTAAAGCCCAGCTTATCTTCACCACTTGTTATTTTTGCTGTCATATCTATAAAAATCATTGCCTCGCCCAAGGTCAGCATGAAGACTTGTGATTTCCTCTTAAGAGCTTTAGTTTTAACGCTTACATTTAGGTCCATGATTCATTCTGAGTTAACTTTTGTACATAGTGTGGGGTCCTGGTCCATATTTGTTTTTTACCTGTGGATTGATTCCCAGTTGTATTAATACCATTTGTTGAAGACTGTTCTTTCCCCCATTGGCTTTTCTTGGCCCCTTTGTTGAAAATTCAATGGACGCCCTACCTGGTTTGGCTCAGTGGACAGAGGGTCAGCCTGCAGACTGAAGAGCTCCGGGTTTAATTCTGGTTAAGGGAACCCACAACCTTGGTGTATCAGGACGATGCTCTAACCAGTTGGGCTACCCAGCCAGCGCCCCGATATCCATTTCGATTGGGCCTGCCTTTTGGAGTCAGTAACAGAGCAGAGGCTAAAAGAGCTCCTTTACCCGAGTTTCCACTCTGGATTTTTGGCGGAGAAGGTGGAGATGCTGCGCCAGGCCTATTCCAGGGCAGCTGGCCTGTTAGGTAGGAGAGGGCTTGAGGCTGGGGGGGACAGGAACATGAAATGAACAGGGGTTTCCTGTCCCTCCTGGAGCCGCAGTTGTCAGCCTGCTGCTGGAATTCCCGCGCAGCCCCTGCTCTGGAGGCCCGGCAGGCGCTGGGAAAGAATGTGGATGCCTTACATGGCAGTGAGGAGGCAGAAGTGCCCTCCCTGCCCAGCCCGCCTGCCTGGACAGTCGGCAGGCTCTTCAGCCACCTGCCTACCTCGGCACCTCACATTCTCCAGCTGCCCCAGACCACATGCTGAGCCTCCATTTACACCACGGCCAAGGGCATCAGGGCTCAGAACAGCCAGGCTGCTGAGCCCCAAGAGCACCGTTGGAAGGGGGAGAGGGCAGGGCCTCTGCTGTTCGGGTGGGGAGTGTGAAGGGGAGGCGAAGCCGGGTTCCTAAGTCCCCGCCCACCATGGGTAGTGCCTGTAAAGCTGCTTTGGCTCCAGCCAGGGGGAAGGCGCCTGTGAAACTTGAGATAAGGCGAGAATTTCACAAACGTACTGCCTGGTCAGGGCCTTAGTCGCTGTGGCCTTTGATCAGAGGAGCAGAATGTAGAGGAGGCGGGGAGAGTGTGCGAAGCAGGGGCTGAGGGTACAGAGACAGCCAGCCTCCCTCTGTAGACTCAAACACACTTTATTCAGCACAGGAATGTCTGAACAGCGGGGCCTTGGGCAGGGTTCCTCACACAGAGAACTCTCCTTCCAGCCCCGCTGTCAACAGAACCAAGATCATCACATCATGTAAACCATGGGGCCACGGGGGAGGGCTCTGCACAAGGTCTGGGGCAGGTCACACTGGCCAGCACGTGGGGGGCTGGGGCAGCTGGGGCGGATGGCCCACACCCAGGGCCAGCCGTGCCTGGGAGGGCTGAGTGAGCAGCTCTGAGTAGCTCGCTCAGGAAAGTCAGGTGGGAGAGCACAAGGGCCTGGCCATCAGGAGATTATCTCGGCCACTGAAAGTGACTGGATCAATTTAGCTGAAGCAGCCAGGGCTGCTGCGTCAACACATGCTTAAAAGGCCCCAAGATCACAGCTGGTGTGGGTGACCGCAGAGCCGGCCCCGTGGGGGTGCTCGTCGCCAGCTCACTGGCAGGCTGTGCAGCTCTCACAACCTCATGCCCGGCAGCCCAGCCAGGCGCCTCCAATCAGCAAATGGGAAGGGACAGTGACCCTCCCTGCCAGGACCTCATGCCCCTACTTGGGCTCACTGTGGAAGGGGAAGGGGCACTCGTGGCAGAGCAAGGCTGGCCTGCCAGAGAACCAGCCTTGACGGTCACTGTCCTTCACTCAAGATTCATGATTTGGGGGTGGGGAAGGGTCCCGGTCTGCACCGGGAGGAGCATCAATTTAAACCCTCTGCCCAGAGGACGAGTTCGTGCCGGGGCCCTCGAATGCCCGGGCAGCAGCTAGCCAGGACCTCTGTTTTGGGCCTCTCTCAGCTGTGCTATCAGGATGCAAATGAGGGAGCGGAAGAAGGGGATTCTGGGAGGGAAGAGGAGAGGTCTGAGAGTGGAGGTTAGGGAGATGGTGTTGGGTGCCCTGGGACTCTTGGGGGTAACAAGAAGCCGTGCACGATGGCACAATGCGATCCAGCTGGAGTCCTGATAACAAGGGCAATGAAGGCTGGAGGTGGGGGGCAGAGGACATAAGTACCATCTTCCTGGATCTGTTCCTGCTGACCCCGGGAAGGGTGCCAAGAGCACCCTCCAAAAATCAGTGACTGGAGTGGCAGCAGCAGAAACAGAATCTGGGTGTGGATGGTGAAGGTGCTCCTTCCCTGGGCGTCGGGCTCACATGGAAACGCAGTCACCGCCAGGCGACAGGGAGGAGCGGGCTGGCTCGGAGGGGACGGAGGGCAGGGCTGGTGCCAGGGGTGTGAGTGACAGCAGAGCCCAGCTTCTCAGGATCACTACACCACAATCTGCACAGCTGAGGAGGCAGGAGACCCACGGGAGGGCCGGATCGCACATGCAGCTGGGGGAAGGTGGCAAGGATGACACAAATGCCCCCAAATCCAGGGATCACACCAACACACGAGAGGAGCACAGCTGTCACCATGGAGTGCGGGGGAGGACGGTGGGCACGTCCCCCTGCGGGCTCACTCGTCTAACTTCCCTTCCAGGATGTGCTCGAAGGAGAAGGGTAGGAACTTGAAACCGGTCCCGCTGTAGAATTTGTTCTGGAACTCGACCCTGGGGAAAAGGAAGAGGGCAGTCATCATCCCACAGAAACGTTTTGGGATTTCACAGCGGGCCAGAAAGATACCGACCCCACGCTCCCTGCAGCTTTACTCTCCGAGGTGCGCATGGGAGAGCCTGTGCCAGCCCAAGCCCAGAACTCGGCCTCCTCCCAGTGCGCACAGCTCTGCCTCTGCAGCCCGGGGCCTGCCCTCAGCCAGCCGCGCACCAACGCACCGCGTGTCCTCGGTCCTGCTCTGACCTGAGCAGAGGGCCTCGTGCAGAAGGCAAGTTTCTAACAGCAAAGAGGAGCCCCCCACACACCTGGCAGGGCTCACAGCGGACCCCGAGGGAAGCCCCTGAGCGGCTGTGAATTCAGCCCCGGGAACCTTGGGGGCAGGAAGGAGAAGGGAGGTTTGGGAGTGAACATTCAAGGCTTTCGAGTTAGGGGAGGAAATTCTCAGGAAAGGGGGGGAAGTCAGGAGGGGAAGTCTCCTCAAAGCCATGGCAAAAACATGCTCCAACTACAAAAACATCTGAGGAAGAATTCTCCTCTTGGGGACTGAAAGGAAAAACAGAGCTTCAGCTCCCTTCCCAGGCTGCTCGGCGGCCATCGCGCGGCCTCCCGGGGGCCCTATCGGACTCGAGGGGAAGAGCTCGCTCCTGTGAGCACTTGGCAAACGCGCCCTGGATGGCTGCCCAGCAACCAAATCAGCACCAAATATGGGCAGAAAACGCATGATTCAGAGTCTAGAAAAGCGAGGAGAGCTGCCCTGAGGAATAGTTTCCACTGGGGCCGAGTGACCCTGGGGCACCAGAGCCCCTGCAGGAACCGGCGGGGGAGGCAGGCGGCAGGCGGTGGTGTACACACAGGCTTCCTCCCCCGAAGCCGGAGGGGAGCGGCCAGCAGGAAGGAAAGCCTGGGCAGGCAAACCAGGACTGCCTGCAGCTGGCACTGCGAGGCCCTCAGAAGCCCCTGCAGCCTCGGGTGCTGGCTGGGGGCACTGACTGCAGAGCATTCAGCTCCACACCTGGGGAGACAGGTGAGCATTGTCAGTCCCCAGGTAAAACAGGATCCAGGAGGGGGAGTTTTAAACTCGAGCCAGTGATACCAGGCCCGGATCTGCCCCGCATCCGAACACTCCCGAGAAGTCCTGCCAGCTGCAGCTACTGGGGGCAGCTGGGGAGGGGCAGGTTCCTGCTGGGCGCCCACTGCTGTCAGGTCTGAAGTCTTCGTGTTGGGGGGCTGTGTTTGCATTATGGCAAGAGATTGCTGAACAACTGACAACAGACGGACTCGTCCCGTTTTCATTCGGGAATCTGTGCCCAGATAGTGGGCAAGCCACCTCCAGGTCCGCGAGGTATCAGAATTCCGACCTCCTGGCTGGCTAATCACACAAACAATTCCAATTCCAAACAGGGTGAAGGGAGAAGTTCTCAGAGACCCATGGGGCCACCACCCTTCTCTTGCCATCCCTCTGTGTGACTCAGGATGTCCTGGGCACCTCTGGGTTAGCCTGACGCCACCCTCCTCCTCAGCTGTGCTCACCCAGCTCCCTGGCACGGAGCTGGGAAGCAGTTTCCCTGTCGGCCTCCCCACCCTCCTCTCCCTGTAAACCAGGGAAACGTGTGCTTCCTGCGAAAGTACAAACATGAAGTTCTCTGTGTGAGGGTGCACGGGGCCCCCGGGGCCGCCCTGCGAGCTTTTCCTTCCTCGGGGGCTCTGCCGGGGGAGCCTCCAGGCCCAGCCATGCTCCAAGCCACTGAGACACACCTCGGAACCCCATGGCTGTGAGAAGCTTCTCTGGCACCCCTTCCGGCCCCGGCACCTGGCAGAGGCCACCTGTGTGTGACCCAGAGGATCACAGTCCAGAGAGATGGCTCCTGCTATGTAACAGGAAACCGGCTTCCTGGAGCGAGCGAAGGGGACTGGTTCCGGGGCCTCCCCCCTCTCCTGGCAGGGTGTGAGCGAGGGGAGGCAGTTTTAGAAAGATGATTCGAGGCCCAGCTGCTTCTCTGGCCCTTTCTGCCACTCTGAGAATTCAGGGCCAGGAACACATGCGTGCCTGATGGTCCCAGTGTCCTGACGGTGATGGCAGCCGGGGACACATTTCAGGCCTCTTACTTCTGGGGCAGCCAGCCGTTCACGCCGCCCTCCCAGGGCGTCCTGCGGTGGCACCACTGCATCCCTTACAGCTAACCGGTCCCAGTCCCGCCCCTTCAGCCGTCAAGCAGTCGGTGAGTGTGCAAGTGTGCACACCTACACACGGTGGGTGCTGCCAGAGAGGAAGGTAGGCCACGGGCCACAGTCTCCCTGCTAAAAGCAGTTAGGTGGCCACAGTTATACCGACAAATCATATCCCTTCCTTTGCCTTTCCTGAGGAAGAAAAGACATTGAATTAGGGTGCCAGGAAGGCCCACTTTACAGGGTTGGGGGAAAAGAGGGGGACAGACAACTCAGGAGACGGAACTGGCAGGCTGGCACACGAACCTGCTCACTGCTGTTTTCAAATGTCACCCACCTCCTTCTGACCCTACACGGACCTCACACTAGTGGTTTACATTTGTTATCGAGTCATGTGTTTTTCTTCTTGTCCCCACGGAAGAGACCCAGAGCTTGTATTCCGGGGCAGACCACGCATCAGAATCAGGAACCCAGCTGCATACCAGGCTGGAGACCAGAAAAAACAGCAACCATGTTCCTGCTGCATTCTCAGCAGGACCAGCTGTTGCCCCTCAGGAGATGGCCACAACTCGCAACTGCTGCCCAGGCATCCCTGAAGCACATCCACATTCGGCCAGGAGGGGGCAGACTAGCACCAATTCCATTCCCTTGGCAGGGATGAGCTCCAAACAGTCCTTCAGTAAGATGGGATTTGAAATGCTGCTGCACTAGAGTTTTCGCTGTTTTTTCTCTTTTGTCCCAAATTTTCACTACCAAACACCACAAGTGCAATGTGGTGGACCAGCCTATTCCTTGCAAACTACATCAGAGACTTTCAGATGGTATCATCTATCTTCCCACCCATTGGTCTCCCTTCTCTCTAACAGACTAAAAGCAGTTTCTTTACAAACTACCACAAGGAGGTGTCCTCTCCCAGTTTTAAGCAGGGCAGCCATGACCTGCACCTGAACAATGGGTTAGCTGTGCCAGGGCACCGTGAGTCCCTTGGTATGTACATTGCTTCACGTTTAATCATGGCAGCCTATCCTCTCTCTTCCCCTGAGAGACAAGGAGGTTCAGAGAGGCAAATGCTCCCCTCGGGGTCGGCCAGCAGGGTGGGCAGAGCGTGATTCTGAAGCCTGCTCTCCTGTCATCTCACTTCCTCGGGCTCATCTGTGTGGACGAGGGGAGTCAGAGCCACTCGGAGGCCACAGGGAGCCTGAGGAGGAAGCAACCCTCTGGCGATAACACATAACCTCACCGACTGGGGGCTCACTCCGGAGACGGGCCCAAGCCCAGGCGACCTTCCTCGACCGAGAGTCCCGGAGCGCCTGCGCCTGCCCGCGGCCCCCCCTCCTGCCCGCCGGGGGAGGCAGCAGGCCCCCCACTTGGGAATCACGGTGGGGTGGTAACTGTTCTCTCAAGTCCAGGCTCAGGAGACAGAGTTACTAGGAAAGGAAGGAAGCCAAGAGGGCAAGAAAAAGTGAGTCACCACAGGCTGGCTGCACAGACGTTCCCTCCCACCGCGAGGCTGAGGAAGTGTGCTGGGAGGGGGCGCTGATAAGCCAGGAACAGGGGAGCGGCCAGCGTCTGAATCATGGGGAGCTCCTGACCTCCTGGCTCGCAGTAAACAACAGCTGGGCGGGAGGAGGAGCAGGAGGGAAGCCCTGAGACTGAGAAAGCATGTCTCCACCCGCAGGACAGACTCCCCTACGTGCCTCAGCTCTCTCCTCTGCAACTTAGAACCACAAACAGTGGCTCCCTGAGGAGGCTCAACTGGGAGAGTCAGCGATAAGGGTGGGACGAGAGGAGGGTTCAGGTTCAGGTTCTGGGTTTTCTTCTGGTTTGGATGAGTGATGGGAAGAGACATTCCAAGCAGCCCCCTCTGACCTTGAGATCAGGACCACCACCGATGATGTCACCTAGGACTTCCTAAGGTCGGGTCCGTGAACCTGTGACCCCTAAGCTGGTAAAGCTGTGTGCTCACATGGCGGGAGGTGTTGCTGAGGAGAGAGGGTCCAGAGCTTCCGGAGCCACTGGGGTTTG